CAGCAAAAGCAGCTAGACACAGGTCAGTGCCTGTGGCTCAGTGGATAGGGCGCTGGCCCCATATACCAAGAGTGGCGGGTTCAAACCTGGCTCCAGCCAAATTGCAACAAAAAAATAACCAAGGGTTGTGGCAGGCGCCTGTAGTCCCAGCTACTCAGGAGGGTGAGGCAAGAGAATCGCCTAAGCCCAAGAGTTAGAGGTTGCTGTGAGCTGTGTGACACCATAGCACTCTACCAAGGGTGATAAAGTAAGACTGTCTCTACAAAGAAAAAAAAAAAAAATAAGCAGCAGCTAGACACAATACATACTCAATGATTTTATTTACATTAATTAAAAAAAAAAAAAAAGACAAAGGCTCAGCACCCATAGGACACTGGTTACAGCACTGGCCACATACACCGAAGGTGGTGGGTTTGAACCCAGCCTAGGACAGCGAACCAACAATGACAACTATATCAAAAAATAGCTGGATGTTGTAGCAGGCACCTGTAGTCCTAGCTACTTGGGAGGCTGAGGCAAAAGAATTGTTTCAGCCCAAGAGTTTCAGGTTGCTGTAAGCTGTGACACCATAGCACTCTAACAAAGGCAACATAGTGAGACTCTGTCTCAAAAAAAAAAATCAGACAGAACTAAATTACAGCGCTTAGGGAGGCATACTTAAATAGTAAAAGCATAAAGAGAAGAATAAAGTAAACACCATGAAACAGAATGATAGCCCTCAGGAGGAAGTGGGGAGATAATGATTACAGAGGGGTACCGGGAACTTCTAGACTACTAGCAATCTTGAATTTATTGATATAATTTCTAGTTATGCAACTATCCTCTCTACATAATCATTCAGTTGTTTATTTTTGACTCAGGCATTATTTTAGTGGGAAAATTTCTTTTACATATTTTTTTCAGAATATTATAGGGCAAGTACTTTTCTTTTTACAATAAAAAAGGCTAAAAAAGACTCAATGAACAGGTTAAATAATATATTAAACAAAGCTAAATAAAGAAAAAGGGAACTAAAAAAGAGATCTGAAGAAATTGTGCAGAATGAATCTAAAGAGACTAAGGTTTATCAAATATTTGAGACATTACCTGACATGGAGGATAGCATGAAAAGCCTAGAACATATCTCTTCAAATTCTAGCAAAAAGCAGAAACAAACAGGATACAGACAATCTTCAGAGAGAATTTAAAAATTGATCAAAGATATCCAATCCTCATATCCAGATCTCTCTCTGAATCCCAAGCTGGAAATATAGAAAAAAAACATTACCTAGATTCATTACAGTGAATCTCCAAAACCACAAACTCAAAGGGAAGATCTTAAAAAGAGCTATGAAAAACTAGATTGTCCATAAAGAACCAACATAGAGAGGGACAGTTATCTTTAACAGCAACAGTGGAAGCCAGAAGACAATCTTGAAAATGATAAATTGGGGTGCTGTCCTGGGAGCAAGGAGGCTGTGGGAAGAGGACTGAGACAGGAGATGTTCTTCAGCCTGGCCGTAATGGCATGAGTGGTGTATCATGCGGCAACTACAAAGAAATGACAGTGGTGGCCATGCCAAGGCACTCACACTCGTTCAGGGGATAAACTCGCCTTTGTGGGCAGGCCTGGGATCCAGGATGAGAAGACTGACAAAAGCAGCAGTTAGATGAACAGCTATAAAATGCCCAGATATGTTCACAAAACTAATTCAGAGACAAAATTCTGACATGACAGCAATATGGTAGAGAAACGTTCAGCTATTTTCTTTGTTGTTATTGTTGAGTTGTCATTGTTGTTTGGCAGGC